TGTAACAGTATGAGAACGACTAATACACTAATTTGATATAATCATCAACATTTAAAACAATCGTCTTAGTAAGATATTGTACTGATACCTAACATTGATTCTAAATCCTTGATCCTATTTTTTAAAAGGGTAATATGTGAATAAAGGTCGCTTTCTCTTTCGTCTCTACTTCTAAGTTCGCGTTCATACTTTGCTATGAAAGAATTATGTTTTCATTCTCATCAGCTATTTTAGATTCCGCATCATGCAACTACAAAAATGCAAATAAAAAAATTTATTAGAAATAATTTAAAAAGTATAGAAAATATTAAAATTATTAAAATTTACTTTTGTTGCGTTTTGAATACTTTCAGCATCTATCATTTTACAATTAGATCTTAATATTTCGATATTACTCGTTAATTTTGCAATCTATTATTAAAAATATAAAAATATATTAAACAATAATTTTCACTTCTTATACTTCTTATTGAATACAAAAAATTTACTTGAGCTTCTAAGTCATTGATCAATTTAATCCTTTCTTCATTGACCAAGTTTAGATCTGTAACTTTTCTTGTCAAGTTATCGATATCTGTATCCTTTTGGACAATTTCAGTTTTCATCAGTAAGTTTTGGGAATGCAAATCTAAATCTGCATCACTTTCTTGTTCTAGCAGTTCAAGTTTATTAAGTTTATTTTTAACATCTCTAAGCTCTTCTTTAAGTTGTTTGAGTTCTTCACGTAAACTAGATAAAGCAATAGATAATAAGTAATTAATAATAACTTAAAAAAATGCAAAGAATAAATAAAAACACCATTTGATTTTGTCATCACTCTTTTTTTTTATACTATTAAAATCTGAATAAATCGATTGAAAAAAGGAAAGATCATCCTTATTCGCTGTTCTAGCAGATTCTTTAATTTGTTGAACCATTGAATTTTATCGTCAAAAATTAATTCGTCTTCTTTGGGTGCATTGCGTTTTTGACTACGGAGAATCCTCAAATATCTATCAATTTGTTTAATAAGGTGGGACCTATTATTTAATCTATCATTTCTTTTGTCTTGTCTAGTTCGATTATCTTGATATTGAACATTTTGATTTCTCTTTCCATTAACTTGTAGTTTTAATATGCTTAATGTTGTATTATGTATCCTTTTGACATGTCCATGTATATCTTTATAATGTAAACTGCATTTAGGGCATCTTGGATTTCCACTTGATTTACCTCTATTTTGTGGAGCCATGGTATTTTTTCAGTTATTTAGTACTATTTAGGACTATTTATATCATATTTCAAAATCTTCTAAAAAGGGACCTTAGAAAATAATATAAAAGCTGTTTAATTTAAAGTTCCCGTATTAATTATATATTTTAACTTTACCGATATTTACAATTTAAAATGAATATATATAAAAAACTTCAATGAATACTAGACATTTAATGTAATGATGTTGACCGAACATTTGAATGGATAACATAAATAAATTATAAATTATTATAAACCTGATGGATATTAAAGTAATTATTTATGTTAATGCAATACGTTGAACAGATAATATAAATAATCTGTAGATTATAATAAATAATCTATGGAACATTACTAAACACATCAGGTGTGGGATTAGTTGACTATTTTAGAAATCCAAGTTGTATAAATGTGTTGATCAAAATCAATCAACTACTTACTTCTATGCTAATCAATCGAACGAACTTTTATACTAAGGGATGTTTTTCTTATTATTTCTTTCATTTTTATACTTCCGGATACTTACTTTATATATTCGTTTCTTAGGGAAAATTTTGTTTCATAACTTCGGCAATTTGATTCATATCGAATCAGATCTGTCAGGTATCTGTGTCGGAATACCCAACTTCAGCAATTTGATCTTTAACAAGATTAAATCTGTCAGACATCTGCGGGGATGTTATCAACTTGGTAGTAATCGTATATGATGATAAAAGTGTTTGTACAATTCTAATCAATCACTCTCACTAATATTCTGAGCGGTTACTTTCAAAAACTGGCAAAAAGAAAAGTGTCATATAACAAGAAGTTTCTATCAATCGAACGAACTTTTATACTAAGGAATGTTTTTTCTTATTATTTCTTTCATTTTTATACTTCCAGATATTCACTTTATATATTCGTTTCTTAGGGAAATTTTGATTCATAAATTCGGCAATTTGATTTATATCGAATCAGATCTGTCAGATATCTGTGTCAGGATATCAAACTTTGGCAATTTAATCTTTAACAAGATTAAATCTGTCAGACATCTGTGACGGGATGTTATCAAGATTGGGAGTAATCATATATGATGATAAATTATGTAAAGGTGGTTGTACAATCACGCTCACTAATATTCTGAACGATTACTGTCAAAAAAAGAAAAGAAGCAAAAAGAATCCTATCAAATAACAAGAAACTGATCTTCAAGAATTAATAAAGATGATGTTATTCTTTTCTACGTTATCAATCGAATTATACTAAGGGTATTTTTTTATATTATTATTTCTTTCATTTTTATACTTCCGGATATTCACTTATATATTCGTTTCTTAGGGAAAATTTTGATAACAAACTTCGGCAATTTGATTATATCAAATCAGATCTGTCAGTATCCGTGTTGGGATTTCCCACTTTGGCAATTTGATATTTAACAAGATTAAATTTGTCAGACATCCGTGTAGGGATATTATCAACTTCTTGTAATTTGATGAGATTCTTTTCGCTTCTTCTTTTTCCAGTTTTTTAAAAGTAACCGCTCAGAATATTAGTGAGCGTGATTGTACGACCACTTTTACATAATTTATCATCATATACGATTACTCCCAAAGTTGATAACATCCCAACACGGATGTCTGACAGATTTAAACTTGTTAAAGATCAAATTGCCGAAGTTTGATATCCCGACACGGATACCTGACAGATCGGATTCGATATAAATCAAATTGCCGAAATTATGAATCAAAATTTTCCCTAAGAAACGAATGTATAAAGTGAATATCCGGAAGTATAAAAATGAAAAAATAATCATATAAACCTCCCTTAGTATAAAAGTTCGTTCGAATTTATCATCATATGTTACTCCCAAGTTGATAATATCCCTACACGGATGTCTGACAAATTTAATCTTGTTAAATATCAAATTGCCAAAGTGGGAAATCCCAACACGGATACTGACAGATCTGATTTGATATAATCAAATTGCCGAAGTTTGTTATCAAAATTTTCCCTAAGAAACGAATATATAAGTGAATATCCGGAAGTATAAAAATGAAAGAAATAATAATATAAAAAAATACCCTTAGTATAATTCGATTGATAACGTAGAAAAGAATAACATCATCTTTATTAATTCTTGAAGATCAGTTTCTTGTTATTTGATAGGATTCTTTTTGCTTCTTTTCTTTTTTTGACAGTAATCGTTCAGAATATTAGTGAGCGTGATTGTACAACCACCTTTACATAATTTATCATCATATATGATTACTCCCAATCTTGATAACATCCCGTCACAGATGTCTGACAGATTTAATCTTGTTAAAGATTAAATTGCCAAAGTTTGATATCCTGACACAGATATCTGACAGATCTGATTCGATATAAATCAAATTGCCGAATTTATGAATCAAAATTTCCCTAAGAAACGAATATATAAAGTGAATATCTGGAAGTATAAAAATGAAAGAAATAATAAGAAAAAACATTCCTTAGTATAAAAGTTCGTTCGATTGATAGAAACTTCTTGTTATATGACACTTTTCTTTTTGCCAGTTTTTGAAAGTAACCGCTCAGAATATTAGTGAGAGTGATTGATTAGAATTGTACAAACACTTTTATCATCATATACGATTACTACCAAGTTGATAACATCCCCGCAGATGTCTGACAGATTTAATCTTGTTAAAGATCAAATTGCTGAAGTTGGGTATTCCGACACAGATACCTGACAGATCTGATTCGATATGAATCAAATTGCCGAAGTTATGAAACAAAATTTTCCCTAAGAAACGAATATATAAAGTAAGTATCCGGAAGTATAAAAATGAAAGAAATAATAAGAAAAACATCCCTTAGTATAAAAGTTCGTTCGATTGATTAGCATAGAAGTAAGTAGTTGATTGATTTTGATCAACACATTTATACAACTTGGATTTCTAAAATAGTCAACTAATCCCACACCTGATGTGTTTAGTAATGTTCCATAGATTATTTATTATAATCTACAGATTATTTATATTATCTGTTCAACGTATTGCATTAACATAAATAATTACTTTAATATCCATCAGGTTTATAATAATTTATAATTTATTTATGTTATCCATTCAAATGTTCGGTCAACATCATTACATTAAATGTCTAGTATTCATTGAAGTTTTTTATATATATTCATTTTAAATTGTAAATATCGGTAAAGTTAAAATATATAATTAATACGGGAACTTTAAATTAAACAGCTTTTATATTATTTTCTAAGGTCCCTTTTTAGAAGATTTTGAAATATGATATAAATAGTCCTAAATAGTACTAAATAACTGAAAAAATACCATGGCTCCACAAAATAGAGGTAAATCAAGTGGAAATCCAAGATGCCCTAAATGCAGTTTACATTATAAAGATATACATGGACATGTCAAAAGGATACATAATACAACATTAAGCATATTAAAACTACAAGTTAATGGAAAGAGAAATCAAAATGTTCAATATCAAGATAATCGAACTAGACAAGACAAAAGAAATGATAGATTAAATAATAGGTCCCACCTTATTAAACAAATTGATAGATATTTGAGGATTCTCCGTAGTCAAAAACGCAATGCACCCAAAGAAGACGAATTAATTTTTGACGATAAAATTCAATGGTTCAACAAATTAAAGAATCTGCTAGAACAGCGAATAAGGATGATCTTTCCTTTTTTCAATCGATTTATTCAGATTTTAATAGTATAAAAAAAAAGAGTGATGACAAAATCAAATGGTGTTTTTATTTATTCTTTGCATTTTTTTAAGTTATTATTAATTACTTATTATCTATTGCTTTATCTAGTTTACGTGAAGAACTCAAACAACTTAAAGAAGAGCTTAGAGATGTTAAAAATAAACTTAATAAACTTGAACTGCTAGAACAAGAAAGTGATGCAGATTTAGATTTGCATTCCCAAAACTTACTGATGAAAACTGAAATTGTCCAAAAGGATACAGATATCGATAACTTGACAAGAAAAGTTACAGATCTAAACTTGGTCAATGAAGAAAGGATTAAATTGATCAATGACTTAGAAGCTCAAGTAAATTTTTTGTATTCAATAAGAAGTATAAGAAGTGAAAATTATTGTTTAATATATTTTTATATTTTTAATAATAGATTGCAAAATTAACGAGTAATATCGAAATATTAAGATCTAATTGTAAAATGATAGATGCTGAAAGTATTCAAAACGCAACAAAAGTAAATTTTAATAATTTTAATATTTTCTATACTTTTTAAATTATTTCTAATAAATTTTTTTATTTGCATTTTTGTAGTTGCATGATGCGGAATCTAAAATAGCTGATGAGAATGAAAACATAATTCTTTCATAGCAAAGTATGAACGCGAACTTAGAAGTAGAGACGAAAGAGAAAGCGACCTTTATTCACATATTACCCTTTTAAAAAATAGGATCAAGGATTTAGAATCAATGTTAGGTATCAGTACAATATCTTACTAAGACGATTGTTTTAAATGTTGATGATTATATCAAATTAGTGTATTAGTCGTTCTCATACTGTTACA